CGCCGCGGCATGTGGTATCCTCCCGGACCGGGGCACGGACCCCGGTCCCCTGCATCGGCAGGCGGACTCTCAACCACTGCGCCACCAGGGAAGCCGCAGACTCCTCATTTTTTAAAGTGAGGGTGCTAACAGTACTTAGTGTACTTGGTGGTCTCTTGGACAACCTAATCAGACACACCTGGTGTTAGGGAGGGATATCCGTTTAGCAAATAGGGAATAATACAAAAGAGATTACCATAAACCACGAATAACAACCAAACCTACACTATATTAACACTATACATATAGTATTAACACTATACATAAAACCTAACAATGCAATCTCTTGATAATTATTTAGCAGGAAGTTCAGAGCTTTGCATGGCTTCAAAACAAGCATCAATTAGAAGGCTACACTATAAACATCACTTACAGTAAGAAGAGATCACAGGTGTAAGACCACAACAGGTTATAATCATAATGACGTTAGGACGGATCTTGGAAACATATGCATTTCCCAAGATATTTCATCTACTTCATGGAACTGCCATTGTTGGAGCCCTTTGTCATTCTGTACTATTTCATTACTTAAAATTTCTTAATGTACTCTCTCCATCTTACATTCAGTTTACTAAGCCATTTTTCTCAAGACTCTTCTTGCCTCAGAAGGCTGGGCTACTGCTTTGCAAGACAAGCTATTCTATCGGGCTAACAGATCACACAAGTGGGATCCTAACACTACTGCCTGTGTGGTGTTCTTACAGGCCACCTTCCTTTACAGTTCACTCATCCATATTCTCTGTCCCTGATTTTACTGATCCCTTTCCACTCATATGCCCCAGTTTTTCTTTCTTCTCCCTCCCCCGCTCCCTCTTCTGCGCTCCCACTGGCTTAGCTGGCTTCTGGCCCAGACCCGCCTCCCTCCTCCTCTGCCTGCCAAATTCTTTCCAAACTGCCTCATTCAATGGTTGCTAACTCTTTAAGTTCTATGGTCTTAGATAACCAGTTTTACTGTATTTCAAATGTGATCAAATATTTATCCTATCTGGAAAAAGAAATACTTAGAAGCAGTTGATACATCCTATGAGAGAACTTACCCATAGCAGAATCAACATTTACACTTACTATCTCCACAGAGGGGAAAAATGAGCACATACAGACATAATGTCAGCCTAATTGGTCATTTCAAGACAAATAGTGACAGAGGAATGTGATCATGGAAAACGTGAAGAGAAAATCACATTGGTTTAATCCTACTCTGTCATTAAAGTCATGTGTCACTGTATGGATCTAATTTTTTAAACTCTCATTTTTCACTTTCACCCTACATATGGTGCTATGATATTTATGTGTGTATACATATATACAGACAAGTGTACATACATACACACATGCCTAATATTAGAATCAAAGAGCACTTCTCTACTAGCCTAAAAGTTATTTATGAAAGCAAACTGTGCCAATCACCAATACCATAGTACAAGTGCATTATCTTAAGCTAAACGCTGATACGGAAGTGGAAATTCAAAACAGCATCCACACAAGCAATGTTATGTTAGCAGTGAGGAAAATATCACAGCCCTGCTGACTTATTACTTCTTTCTGGAAGAGCATAATTTAGAATAAAATGGGTTTACCTTTTATTCCTTGCCACTTACAGCTTTATTACTGTGAGCATGTCACTCCCCTACTCTTCACCCTCAAAACTGGAGAAAGCAAATCCTGGCCAACCTAACTTCTGGGGCTGTCACAAGCTTGGGTAGAAGCGCCTCTGTCTTGTTACCCCCAACTCCAGAGGACCCAAACATTTTACTGAACAAGTCAAGGTATAAAAAACAAAGGTAGAATGTACAATACCAAGAGTGAACCCTAATGTAAACTATGGACTTTAAATAATAATGATGTGTCCATGTAGGTTCACTGGTTGTAACAAATGTACCACTCTGGCGAGGGATATGAATAATGCAGAAAGCTGTGCGTGTGTAGGGGCAGAGGGTATACGGGAAATCTCTGTACCTTTCTCTCAATTTTGCTGTGAACCTAAAATATCTCTTAAAAATAAAGTCCATCAAAAAACAAACAACAACATATGAACAAAACAGTGCCCATCAACGGCTCAATAAATGTTGAATGAATAATATATGATAAAGTCATAACAGCAACACTCCTCAAACAAAAGGGCTGGCAATCCCACTCCACAAGGCCAAGGGCACAAGTCATGTGCTGCACTCTGAATTTCTCACACCCACATTGTATCACAAAGAGTTCATTATTAAGGGCTTTAATTTGTAGATACTGCACACAATCTTTTTCCACAAGAAATCAGTATACATTCAAGAGGGACCCAGGACAATCTTTTGGGAGGACAATGCTTGCAATTCTTCTAGTTCATCCTGCAGGTATACTTGCACAAGAGCACAGAGATTTAGGTATAAGGTTCATTAAAAGCATAAAAACGGGGACTTCCCTGGTGGCACAGTGGTTAAGAATCCGCCTGCCAATGCAGGGAACACGGGTTCGATCCCTGATCTGGGAAGATCGCACATGCCGCAGAGCAACTAAGCCCGTGCACCACAACTACTGAGCCTGCACTCTAGAGGCCACGAGCCACAACTACTGAGCCCATGTGCCACAACTACTGAAGCCTGCACGCCTAGAGCCCATGCTCCGCAACAAGAGAAGCCACCACAAAGAGAAGCCTGCGTACCGCAACAAAGAGTAGCCCTCGCCGCAACTGGAGAAAGCCCGCTCGCAGCAATGAAGACCCAACGTAGCCAAAGATAAATAAAATTTTTTAAAAAAAGCATAAAAAAGGTCTTATTCTCCAGCTACACAGGGGCAGAATAAATGAATTATGGACTACCCATACAATAGGACATAGTTTAAAAGAATAAGTCAGTGTTATGGGCTGAACTGTGTCCCTGCCCCCGCCCCTCCAGTCATATGTTGGAAATCCTAACCCCCTGTATCTCCAAACATGACTTTATTTAGACAGATGGCCCTTAAAGAGGTAGTTAAGATTCAATAAGGTCACTGGGGTGGACCCTAATCCAATATGACTGGTGTCCTTGTAAGAAGAGATTAGGACACAGAGACACACAGAAAGAAGACCATGTGAAGACACAGGGAGAAGACAGCTATCTACAAGTTAAGGAGAGAAGCCCCCTTAATCTCGGACTTCTAGCTCCCAGATCTGTGAGAAATTAAATTTCTGTTGTTTACACTACCTGGTCTGTGGTACTTGGGTTATGTATGACAGCTCCAGCAAACTAAGATAGCCAGTATGCCCGGATATTTTATACGTACGCATATCTGTACGTGGGGAATATGTGTGGACACAAAGACCGCTAACATCGATCACCTGGGCCTAGATGAGTGGGCCTAGATGTGGGGAGGAAACTAAGACAGCCATGTCTCACTGTTCTGCTCTCCTGTCTGGGTTTTTACCATGTGCATGTATTACTCTCATGATAAGAAAAAGAAAACGGACTATTTAAGAAAAGTAACTAAGTTTCAAGATAATGATATAGAAGTATTTGCAGTGCGGTATTGACTTGTGTGATTTCTTTCTTTCTGAAGAAACTTTCCCTCCCCCAAATATACTGAAAAAGAAAAATTTCAAAGAGCTGTTCACACCCTCTATCTAACTTCCTTTGCAATAGCAACAGCATGAATAGCAAAGGCTTTTCTAAATAGAAGGTGCTTTGTCTTTGCCGGGGCAGAGTCCAAATGAAAGGATTAGCCAGCTTCTTGCTGCTACCTGGAGCTGGGCCTCCCCC